TGGTGGCCCTGTCCCCTCCCCATGGTGGCCCTGTCCCCTCCCCATGGTGGCCCTGTCCCTATAGTGGCCCTGTCCCCTCCCCGTGGTGGCCCTGTCCCCTCCCCGTGGTGGCCCTGTCCCCTCTCCGTGGTGGCCCTGTCCTCATAGTGACTCTGTGTCCCCTCCCCGTGGTGGCCCTGTCCCTATAGTGGCCATGTGCCTGTAGTGGCCCTGTCCTCTCCCCATGGTGGCCCTGTTCCCATATTGGCTCTGTGTCCCCGTGGTGGCCCTGTCCCCTCCCCGTGGTGGCCCTGTCCCCGTGGTTGCCATGACCCCATCTCCGCAGTGGCTGTGGCCTCGTGATGGGCTCGTCCCCATCTCCGTGGTGGCCCTGTCCCTGTCCCCATGGTGCCCGTGTCAATGCGGTGGCCGTGGCTCTGTGCTTGTTCCCGCCATGGTGGCCCTGTCCCCTCCCCCTGATGTCCCTGTCCCCATGGTGCCCGTGTCCCCCTGATGTCCCTGGCCCCGTGGTGGCCGTGTCCCCATGGCGCCCATGTCCCTGCGGTGGCCCTGTCCCCTCCCCATGGTGGCTCTGTCCCCATGGTGGCCCATGTCCCCGTGGTGCCCATGTCCCCTCCCCATGGTGGCCCTCTTCCCATGGTGGCCCTGTCCTCGTGGTGGCCCTGTCCCCTTCCCCGTGGTGCCCACGTCCCCGCGGTGGCCGTGTCCCCGCGGTGGCCGTGTCCCCTCCCCCTGATGTCCCTGTCCCCATGGTGCCCGTGTCCCCCTGATGTCCCTGGCCCCGTGGTGGCCGTGCCCCACGGTGGCCTTGTCCCCATGGAGACCATATCCCCGGCCCCGGATTGTCCCCAGCCCCGCGGTGGCCTCGTCCCCAAGCCCCCCCCCCGCCTCGGTGCCGGTGGCAGCGGCCGGTGTCCCGGGAGGGCCCGGTGTCCCGGGAGGGGCGGGCCGGGAGCAGCCGGTCCGGCCGGGTGCAACCGGCCCGGCTGGTGTCCCCGCGTCCCCGCGGTGCCCCTGTCCCCAGGGCTGTGTCACCTGGGGCTGTCACCTGGGGCTGTGCGAGGGACGGCTGTGCAAGGGACCGGTGTGCAAGGAGGGGTGTGCAAGGGACCGGTGTGCAAGGAGGGGTGTGCATGGGATGGGTGTGCAAGGAGGGATGTGCAAGGGACCGGTGTGCAAGGAGGGGTGTATGCGGAGTGAGTGTGCAAGGGACGGGTGTGCATGGGATGAGTGTGCAAGGAGGAGTGTGCAAGGAGGAGTGTGCATGGGACGGGTGTGCAAGGAGGGGTGTGCAAGGAGGGGTGTGCATGGGATGGGTGTGCATGGGATGGGTGTGCACGTGGGTGTGCAAGGAGGGGTGTGCAAGGGACCGGTGTGCAAGGAGGGATGTGCATGGGACCGATGTGCAAGGAGGGGTGTGCGTGGGACGAGTGTGCAAGGGACCCGTGTGCAAAGAGGAGTGTATGCGGAGTTAGTGTGCAAGGAGGGATGTGCAAGGGACCGGTGTGCAAGCAGGGGTGCGCATGGGACAGGTGTGCACGTGGGTGTGCAAGGAGGGGTGTGCAAGGAGGGGTGTGCATGGGACGGGTGTGCAAGAAGGGTGTGCCTGGGATGAGTGTGCAAGGAGGGGTGTGCATGGGACGGGTGTGCACGTGGGTGTGCAAGGAGGGGTGTGCAAGGGACCGGTGTGCAAGGAGGGGTGTGCATGGGACGAGCGTGCAAGGGACCGGTGTGCAAAGAGGAGTGTGTGTGGAGTTAGTGTGCAAGGAGGGATGTGCAAGGGACCGGTGTGCAAGGAGGGCGTGCAAAGGACTGGTGTGCACGGGGGTGTGCGAGGAGGGGTGTGCAAGGAGGGGTGTGCAAGCGACCGGGGTGCACGTGGGTGTGCAAGGAGGCGTGTGCATGGGACGGTGTGCAAGGGACCTGTGTGCATGTGAGTGTGCACGGGAGTGTGCAAGGAGGGGTGTGCCCAAGGGAGCAAGGGGCACGGGGGTGTGCAAGGGGCTGCTGTGCATGTAGGTGTGCAAGGAGGGGTGTGCAGGGACGGGTGTGCAAGGAGGGGTGTGCGCTGCACGGGTGTGCAAGGACGGGTGTGCGCAGGGGTGTGCAAGGAGGGCGTGCAAAGGACTGGTGTGCACGGGGGTGTGCGAGGAGGGGTGTGCAGGGACGGGTGTGCAAAGGGCCGCCCCATCGCTGTAACGAGCTCTCCCGGCCTCAGCCTTCCCCCAATGCATCCCTGTGGGCCGCCCATCACTGTAATGAGCTCGTGCAGCCTCAGCCCTCCGCCAATGCATCCCCCTGGGCGCCGCCGTGTCCCGAGCCGGCGCGGCCTCAGCGCTGACCCGCGGCCCCGGTGCCCGCAGCTGGCGGGCAGCCGCTCCGAGAAGGGCTCGGGCTGGTCGAGCCGCTCGCTCGGCGCCCGCTGCCGCAACTCGCTGGCCGCCGGCGCCGACGAGCAGCCCCACATCGGCAACTACCGCCTGCTGCGCACCATCGGCAAGGGCAACTTCGCCAAGGTCAAGCTGGCGCGCCACATCCTCACCGGGCGCGAGGTGGG